AATGAAACAATGTTAATATATATGATTAGACACTGTTTACTGCAAAGCAACTTGCATTGTAGCTGTTTATAGTGATGAGCATTTTACAGGAGCAATCGAAAAGACATACCTTGATTAAAAGGACCAGAAATTATTTAGGCCCACAACCTTCCATCTATAAGTCTAGAGCTTTAACCATTGCTCCACACTACACTTCACGCCTGTCCAAATCATATGCAGTCTGAAAAGTAATGTATGAAACAAATACTTAATGACAGAATAAATATTTGGGATGCCTTTGTTGACAGAAATCCAGCAGCATAAATATCTTCTGTGGAGCAGAAATGGTTTCACAATGGGACCTTGAGCTCTGGAAAACTGTTAATGAGGCCTAATGATTCACGCTTCACCTCTCCCAGAGTGAAGGCTGTACCCATGACTGAGGGAGGCCTCCTATGGCTTCAACACTTGCACTAGGGATTTGGTGATATCAAAGCAAAGAGCCTGTCTGGTAAGCGAAACAACTGTTTGTTTAGTCATTCATTTGTTTTAGAAGAATATCTACATTTGCATGATCTGGCTTGAATGCACTTACTCTTTCTTCAAATCCTGATACAAACAGCATGCATTTTGAAATGTAAGCTGAACAGAGAATAGTTTATCTCTGGTAGACTTAAATGCCGTAAGATTTGACTTTTGGTTTGACTTTTCTTAATTATTTTGATTTACATTGTTTGTCGCTAGAAAGAAGATGAGGCATTCTCAATTTGTTGATATAGTCTGCCTGTTCCTACATTTTGAAAGATTCCAAACATTTTGTACTTTTTCTTCATTCTCTTGATTTTCTCCCTTGTTTGAGATTTATACTGAGTGTATGTAACCTTTATCTGCTTAAAGGATTTAAATCCCAGAGAAGGCAAAGAGGTTACCCGTGTTAATAGAAAAGTATGTATTTCCCCAAAGAACGCACCAAAAGATTAATAATGTGTCCCCCTTATCTTATTGGACTTTTTCACACGGTCTCTCACATTTCCAACACTAGCCACCTCCGCTTTGCAATTTGTTCCAGAAAAACAACTTGTAGTTGTCTTCTCTTAAGTTAGTGCATACTTCTAATATTTTAGCAGGCTTTAAATTTTATTACTTGCATTTTCTATTGTACTGAATTTGGTGAATCCAACCTGCAAATTGTAATATTACAAACTGTTACTCAAGGCCTTTGCAAAAGAACTACAAAATCATGGGGTCTTCCCAAAGTCTTTGAAAGCTGATGGTGTTTAGCAGCAAGGGCTTGTCAGTAGCAGGCCTCAGAGATCAAAGCCACCCTGCTGAAATCTATTCGTCAGCTTGTTAGTGCAATGCTAATTAGCATACCTGTTATTAGTAATGAAGATTTACAGAAATGTGGTGTTGTATAAATAACATCTCATTTCCAGTCACTTCTTGGATCTGTTTTATTTTTGTTGCCTGGTTATACTGACTTTATTTCATGCACATTTCTATTGTTTACAAAAACAAAAGGTTAGAGTATCTTTCATTTCACTTTGTACCTTTGAAAGCTCAATACTATTTCACTGTCATCCATCCAACATTGGCATAACCCTTTCTGTGATGAAAGCAGACATAGGCGTCCATAGACTCAGTGAATTAAAAAGTGTTAAGATTATTTTATACGGGTAATTTAAATAAACAAATTCAGTGATAGAGAATAAATGATGACTGAGCTGTCTTGTAATATTCAGGAGCTGATCTGATGAAAAGACAAACAGCAAGGTGTTGTTTAAAGCCAAGAGCTGCGCATCACAGCTCTGAGATGCACCTGATTTTCAAGCAATATTAACAGAGTTTTGTGTTCTTACTTCTAACTACACATTACACCTTCATTATAAACTCCGATCCCTTAAATGATTTGTTTGAAGAACAGACATTGTCACCTAATTAACTAACAAAGGACTTGATGCTTACACATCACTTAAAGTGTTATTTAGTCTTTAGTTTAGTAGGAAATTGAAACTGATGTGTCATTGGATGCTCAACCTGAAACAACCTGTTTGAGAATGAAGGTCAAATGTGAAATCGTGCATTTGGTATCAGGTTTAATAGGGTTTTCTATTTACCCAGAAATACTACACATAAAAGTACATCATGAGCATTAAACTTTGTGGCAGACTAAACAGTGCATAATTATTTATTTGACTGACAACATTATCTTTATTTATTTTATGAAAATAAATATCACAATTGGCAAAAACTATTACATTTATCTCATTAATTGCACGGGTGTGTCATCTCTTCCATCTTTTTCCCAGGGCTCCTGCTGCTGTTGCTAACAAGTTATCTGATATCTGCATAGAAGTGCATGAAGAGTGAGACTAAGGCTATGAGTATGAGTACCACATAGCCCCGTGTGTCATTCTAGTTCTTAACAGGAGTAAATCCCACTCATGCCTTGAAGAGTGCATGAGAGAACAGATAAAATGTAATCTGCACAGTTTCCAGGTAACAGATGATCTCCTTATGTGACCTCATGGTTGTTGCTTTTTTCACTCCATTAGTTCTTCAACAAGTGTTAAATTTAACTTTACAGCGTGAATAATCCACTGCTGGTTACCATCAAGAGATAAAGTAAACTGTTTATTTTAAAAAATCTTATATCCCTGCAAATGTAGAATTATTTATTGTTTCATGGATTGACCCCGAATAACTGCTCGGATTCCTTTTGAGCATTCAACTTTAAAATGAAACATTTACAATTTATTTGGGTTATTTTTCACCCCACTTCTCTCTTGTACTGCATAAATCCCATGCAAGGTTGTGGCTGATAAAAACTACTCTTGTATGACTTTCATATTGATGGCAACTATCGCTGAGATTGTAATTGATCAGACACTGCTCCATGCAGAAGGTGTTAAAATCGACAGCTGGAGAGTTTGATGCAGCATTTTCCCCATTCTGCTGTGATGCTAGTAACCAGGAACTGACAAACATCAAACTGTAAGATTGAATGAAAACATTTTGTTTGAGAAAATCTTTTCTCATTCATCATTTTGATATGCTAACAAAAACGTTGTGCCATGTTCCAGTTTAATTTCCTTTAGATGGTTATCAATAATCACATTAATAGCACTGGAGGCTTGTTTACTTAATTTCTTCTTTGCATGTAAATCCATTGGTTTATATGTCTTCAGGCAGTCATGTACTACAATATGAAGCACATTGATTGTTTGGATTCCTGGTAGCTAAAAACGGTTCAAATATGGTTCCTATTTTGTTGGAAATGCACTCCCAACATTGCTGCTTAATTTTAAGTAAAAATGTTTGAAATGTAAGCATCCCTTCTTCCCGTGTAGTTTTTTATTTTACAGATTATAGAAAGGAGACATATAATGAAGTTTGCACACCAATTCAGATTGTCTCCAATAATTGAATGGTCTTTAAAAACCACATGAAAACACTCTACGAAAATCATCTTTCAATTATTTTAGAAAATAGTGAAGCCATCTCAGAGAACAATGCGGGCATTTTGAAGACACCTTGAATTATGATCACTTTTTTGCTTAAAAAGGGAAAAGTCTAACGCAATTGTATTATAAGTGAGAATGGAAGCTGAAATCAGTTAGTGTTGTGTTCTCTGAATTCATTTATAATAGATACTCACCTTAGATTGTGAAGCTGACTGTTTCTTTTTGCTGAAATACTTCAGTGCAGGTAAAAATAAAATGAACACAACTGATCATTTTCAGATCTGCTTCCATAGTCAAAAGGCGTGAAACATTTTATTTCACGCAGATGACACATTTCTTTAAGTGAGGTGAGGGCCTCTGAAGTACCAGTGACAGCTGCAGAAACACTAGTATACACTAGTAAATGGTTCACAACATCCTTCAAACTATACTCCTATTCTTCTACTTAAAATGTATTTAAACCCCAAATAATTGTATTTCTAAATACCAGTACATTAAGACTTTTTGAGGAAATACAATTTTAGAATTCTATGTAAGAGTAAAAAATTGATTTTTTCTTTCGAATGTAAATAGATTAAGAAGATAACATTCAGATATACTGGAAGAATTTATTTACTGGGATTATCTGGTGTACCACGTACACCACGTATCACGCATCAAGTATCTCGTAGAACCACGGTGATACTTGGAAATAAAAGTTTCCTTTTTTCATTATTTTTGATCATGTGTCTTTGACAGCCCTGGTTAGGTTAGTCATTAGGAACAAAAAAGAACAATGAGATTAAATACGGTAGCCTGTTTAACATTTGGCCACCAAAGGAGATACTAAACTCAGTGACATGACAGATGACACGTCAACTCAGCGCCCGTGTCATTCAAACAGAAAGGACTGTGAGTCATGTTTTTTTAACCATTTCAGTTCAGAGTAATGCATTTAAGGGGAAATATTTAATAACACCGATTCAATGATAAAATACATTTACGTCTTCTTGTTGATGGGAGCCTGTTTGATCATAGCAATCAATCGTTATTACTATTTAATCATGAAAGCAAATCTTTTTAAAACGTCCCATTCGCCCCGTTTATAAATTACTAAGGTGATATCTAAGTGTGCTGCGGAGAGCGATTGCTGACCATGTCTTTCATCAGTAGGGACTCGCTACCCATCTCCTTCATCAAACCTTCTGATCGAGAGTGTCACGTTTTAGTCTAACGATGCTTTTCGCACAAGGAGACGATTACTTATCATCTCCTTCTGCAGGGCGATCCCAAAGCTACCGGGATAATAAGGGTGCACACCCTTACTGCAACGTTTTCTCTACAGCGGGGTTGTCCTGGAGGTGCGACTTTCCCCAGGGCAAGCGGGCAGAAACCCGGGTGGGTGGATGGATGGAAGTTTGTTCCGGGCACAACAAACCACTCCACACCTTTCGCAAACCCACACGGCTACCTTTTTCTCGTTCTAGCCAGACTTTTAAACCGAGGCGGGCGCTGATTGGCTGGCTGGCAGTCACGCGGTCTGCGCTAGCCTTGCCCTGCTGTAGTCGGTCAGTGAATGTGAGACTGGCAGGCAGCTTCAGCAGCAGCGCTATCTGGATACTCCACTACACTATTAATTACAAAAAAAAGACCTTTTCTTCTTTTTGGAAGACAAATATATGACCATGGGCGACAAGAAGAGCCCATCCAGGTACAAAACCGTTTAGCTCGGGCCTCCTTCTGTCGTTTTGTGAAGGTTGGGGGAGATTTCAGTGCCGTGAAAGGGTCGATATTCGGATGTTTTCTCCCTCTTTCTGTTTGTGTGCCAGGGCTAATCTTGTATAGTGCAGCTATGGCGGCTAGTCTCTCTTTCTCTACTCTCTAGTCACTTTCAGACAAAGGGAAATTTACAGGGGATACGCCTGGCATTTTTTAAAAAAACGCAGTGGGATTATAATACAGCGTGATTAAAGTTGAGTGTCCGATGGCCATTTTTAGTCGTTGGATTTGCGTCTTTATTTATATATTGACAAGGGGGAGGGAAGACGAAGAAAGCTCCGCGACATTAGCTATAATTTCATATTTTTTTCCTGACACGAAGAGTTTATGTATTTTTATGCTCTGAATCTACTTCAAAGTGCTGCTGGGTTTCATGTAATGCGGGCATGTTATTTACCGTTATTTTGTTAAATTCCCAAGGCCAAAAAGACAAGCCAAACCTACGGCAGACGACGGCTTTTGGGATTGTAGTGTCTGCACCTTTAGAAACAGTGCCGAAGCATTCAAATGCAGCATCTGTGATGTGAGAAAAGGCACATCGACAAGGTATGATTCTCACTTTGCTGTCTAGAATGTATTTTTTGTAATTATTTTTACTGGTGCATGCTGTTTTCTCCCATTTTTGTAATTTTAATAGCGTTAAGAAGGTACAAGATTTCGTTTGACTTGTTGATTTACGATATTGCAGACACCTACAGTAGGTAACAGCATATGCATGTATAAATAAATGTGTATCCTATAGTTCCACGTGAAATCTAAAATATGAATTAACTCGCATAATTTAATTATCATTGACTCACCGAAAGATTTCAGAACCCTTTTTCTGGGGAGGGTGGAAGCGATCGTTTCTCCAGCAGCTGTGTCTATTTAGAAATAAGGGAGTTTTTTAAATGTCATCTTAAAATCCTGGAGAGAAGGAGAGCCTTTATTGAACTTAAGTTTTCCTGTTTTATTACTGCTGCCAGATGTATGTTTTGTGTAGCCTTTTGCTGACATGTTCTAGTTTTGCTTTTAGGCATAAAACCTATTGTGAGAAGTACTCTAGTTGCTAGGTGCACTGTATAAATTGCAAGGTTACATCACTTGTCAGTAATTGAAATATGTTTTAAATCCACACCAAGCTTACTGCTTGATAGGAATGTGGCTGGAATTGTTATGCAAAAGCACGCAACACGATCTGCAGGAATGGTCATTATTTTAGTCTTTCATTAAAGATATCACTAGCACTTTTGAAGTGTTGATCATCAATCGTGTGGTGGCATGGCTTGTTGGAGATACTGCACTGGACTTGGCTGTGTTCAAAACATTGAGAAGTTTCTGCAGAGAGGGGGTTAATTTTGATGTTGGGGGGGGGGTACCACTTCACTTCTCATCTTCTAAAGTGAAAATGTTCAACAAATTATTTATTTTCATCTTATTCCCATGATTCTGCATAGCATTTCCATTCCCCTGCCGAGCATTAAAGAGTTCTTTGGATTTGTACTTGTTGATTGCAGTTTATAATAATATAATAATAAACTTTATTTTATATAGCACCTTTAAAGGTGGCTTCTCAAAGCGCTTTACAGAATGATGACAATAACAATAAATAAAAAGAATAAACAAAATAAATCACAATTACAATATACACAGGAGACCGTGGATGGTGGTACTAAGAAAAGCAGAGGGGTGAAGAATGGAACCAGTTAAGTAAAGGCTTTTCTAAAGAAGAAGATTTTGAGTCTGGATTTGAAGGAGTTTAGAGAAAGTGACTCTCTGATATCCTTGGACAGAGAGTCCCAGAGCTTGGGGGCAGGAGAAGGCCCTGTCACCCATACAATGTAGATGGCCTTGGGGGACACTAAGGAGAGCAAAATTAGAAGAGCGAAGGTTGCGAGGTGGGGAGTAGGGCGATAATAGTTCAAACAGGTACTGAGGTGCCAAGCCATGCAGAGCTTTACAGGTGAGCATGAGGATTTTAAAGTCCGCACGGGATTTGACAGGCAGCCAATTGTGATACCATAACCTAAAAGAAACAGCCAATGAAGCTTGTTTTAAATGTAGATTAGTTTAATCCTCAATTTCCAGATCACTTTTGTAAATCGTATTGGTGGACCATTGTGCCACTCTTGCCTATGGACTGAATTTCCAAACCACTGCCCCAGTATGGTAACAGGGTACACTGTGCTGTGGGAGGTGCCAACCTTAAAATTACATGTTAAAACACAGTTCTGTTTACTTGGCCATGAAATATCCTATGGCACTTTGTAAGTAGGTGTTAACCCTGTTGTCCTGGCAAAAGTCCACTCCACAGTATGCTAAACTTGCCCCTTAATTCAAGATGGGTGCTGCTCTTCAGTATTGGATGAACTAAGTCCACTACTGTATGTAAAGCACTTGGGGATCTTTTGGGATGGAAAGTGTTGTACAGTTGCAAATAATTATTCTGATTGGCCATATAGGGACAGCGCGGATAAAACTGGTATAGTCATGGGAGTGTTCTAGGATTGTACTTGTGACATTAAGGCCTATTAATAATGCACCCATTTCTAGAGCTTTGCTGTAAACAGCATTTGTCATTCTGAACCTTTTGGTAACATATTAGTGTGAGCCAAGACCATCTGTGTCATAGTTACAGATACAGGAACTTAAAAGTGTAACTGCGCTCTGTAAGTTGCTGATTACATCCAGTGTTACTCGTGACAGTTTAGCTGATCCACGATGTTGAAGCTTGATTGATACTTCATTTTCTTAGGGGGTCTTATCAAACATGCAAACGTTTACAGTTATGTTCTTCAGGTTTAAACTATGTCATTTGGAAGAGTCTGCAGGTGAATAAGTTGAAATCTCTTGGTGTGTATCACGGATTTAAATTTGTTACTGTAATACTATGTTTGCCTGTACCTGTTATAATGAGCATAATAGTGTGGCTAATACTTCACTACCGGTTGTTTCTTTTCTGTAAGTTTATAAACACCGCTGAGGAAGCGCCTTCATGAATGTGGGATGTACATATGACTAATTCATACCCTAGTTCAAGAATTCCCATGAATTAACCTTTTCTGTAGTGGTAAAATTATGACTGTTTGCTGACGCACTTATACAGAGGGAAAACACTTGAGATTTTACCACTTTAGAAAGTTGAGCTGTTTTGTTCTATCTGATATCCCAAAATGAAACAGCTGTCTCAGAGTCTAACACAGTGTACAGGTTGAAGCTACGTTTTGTTACGGTAACAGGAAAGAAACCACGTGCGCTTCCTCAGTGGCACACTATCAATAAATGGCAGATGTCCCATAAGTCTGGAAATAGATGCATGTGATGCAATTAAATATTTGTCATATACTAATTTGAGCAGTAAGATTCCCCTTTCATTGACATAATTGTCAAGTTGTCTGATGATTGGCCTGCTTGAAGCCAAACAAATCAACAACAACAGCTGAACTGTTTTATTTGCCTTTTTTTCAGTTTTTGTGGTTTATATCTGGAACGCTTCTGGAGATGCAATCATGCTGTTTTTGGGGGATAAAATATATTGGTTTTCATTGTGTGAATATCTAATGGTGGGTTGATCATTGCAGGCGTTTGTTAACTTTGACAGTTTGATTCATGTGCAACTGTTGGTCAGTCTTAAGAGGGACTGTAGATTCAATCAAAATAAGCAGAGCTGTTTAAATAGTTCCTTTCAGGTACTGAAAAGAATTTCAGAATTGCTGAAATGCAGTTCTTAAGAACTTCTTTCTATTTGTCTGAGCAATCCGTCTTTGTTACGGTCTTATTACTGTAGATGGATACAATACGACAATAAATGAATCTCCCAGAGTGCACTGAAAAAAATCCATATAAAAAGTGGATCAGTGGCATATTGAATTCATAGTGTATAGTGCTGTATTGAGTTCAGGAATAATTTTCTCCTAGGCTTAGATTTTAATATGTAGATCAGTTTTATATACTGGCACACAGTCCTCTCTAATTGGCAGATGTATTTAGGTCTTGGCCTCTGTGGCAGTGGTAGGTGTACATGCTGCTATAAGACAACAGGTACTGTATGGTTCATTGGAGGAAGTAATAGAATAAACCTCACATGGTATCCTACTGATGTTAATAGTTACACAAGGCAATAAAGAGGGGTAGGTAAATTGTATTTCTATGAAAGCACCTTTAAATGCTTAGGGCTAGGCTGCTTTCCTAAACTTAGGGAAATAGTTTGCCTGACAACATTGATTGCTGATTACCTCAGCTTCAAAGATAAGTCACAGTTCTTGCAGTAGCTGCGGCCTCTACAGCTGAAGACAGTTCAGCCTCAGTGTTAGTAGCATGGTTGGGGGATGTGAGTGAAGAGGTTATTTCAGGTCAATTGGCCTTTTCATGCAAAATACCCAGAATGAGAACTTTTAAAAGACTGTCATTAAAAAACTGCTTTTCTCTCCCTCCCTCACCCCCCATTATGTTGCTTAGAAAAATTCTAACTAGATTATATTGAAAACCTATTTATTTTGACTGATAACTTAATCTTATCATGTTAAAGAATGTTCTGAATTTGATCAGTGCCAAAGGAATTGAAACCTTACCTAATTATAAACTTGAATGCCAAAATTGCCTGCTTAAATATTAAACTGCATTTTTTGTGATATTAAATGGTCTGTGTTTTTACTAAGTAGAAGTACTGCTAAGAAAAGCAGGCCTTTATCAGAACGCATTTATGCATATTGATACAGCAAGCTGTAGAAGTGGATATTAGCTGTCTGAATTGTCCTGAACAGTCATGACTAAATATTATTCATTGTACACCAGTTGATGTCCATCTTTTGCTATGGATAAGGTGTAATGTTTTATATAAAATCTTGCTTTCAGTTTTAATCACTTACTGATTTGGTGTTGATGTAGTTTAGAGCTCTCTTTTCCTGCAACGAGTGTCATATTTTATAATGTCTGATGTAAATTGTACATTTGGGGATTTTGTTGCCTTTTATAGCACTTAATTTAAGGCTGGATCAGGAAGTATGGATTATCATTCTTTCAGTTGGGCTTGAAAGCTTTTACCAAGTTAAATCTGATGTGCCTTGTTTTTGATCCAATGTGTAATAGTGTTACCATTAGCTGTAGGTGTACAGTAACTATATTGTAACCAACCTAGATGCTATGTGGTAGTGTTCGTCATGGTCTTCTTGTTTATCCTTTTCAACTTCTTATGGTTTGAGCCTTACATAATGCACTATCTTTAGCTTTTACACATTTTCAGGGTTTAATAAGGAAACTATAGTGCATTAAAAATACAAATGAAATATATTGGAAACTTTAAGTAGTGCCCAGAAGTGCAAGAAGCTATATACAAATGTTCTGCAGTGCTAATACAGCAGGTTTTTTAAAATGGAATACCAGCAGTTCAATAGACAAATGCAGTGCAGAAATGGGTCTCAGGACTTAGTGCATCTGAGCAGGTGAGTTTTGACGTGGCTGTAAAAGTGGTAGAGAGTGTGTATGGACACTTGTGTTGGACGGATTCAAAATCCGTGCTGTATAAAGTGTAGCCCCCGCCAAGTACTAAATTAGATGATGCATTAAGT